TTTTTGTCTTTGCTTCTGTTAATGGTTTATTACGTTATTGATTTTCGTATGTTGAACCACCCCTGCATCCCTGGGATGAAGCCTACTTGGTGTGGGAATAATCTTTTTGATGTGTTGTTGAATCGGTTGCCATTATGAGATTTTGCATCAATGTTCATTAAGGAGATTGCCTATATTCTCCTTTTTGGATGCTTTGCCTGGTTTTGGATAAGTGTAATACTGGCTTCATAAAATGTTTGGCAGTTTTCCTTCCCTTTCTATTTGTGGAACAGTTTAAGGAGGGTTGGTATCAGTTTTCTTTAAAGGTCTGATAAATTCAGCAGAGAATCCATCAGGTCCTGGACTTTTCTTTTTGGGGAGACTCTTGATTGCTGCTTCAATTTCATTTGTGTTATAGATCTATTCAGGTGATTAATTTCCTCTTGGTTCAGTTTTGGATGATCATATGTATCTAGAAATCTGTCCATTTCTTTAAGATTTTCAAATTTATTTGAATATAGGTTCTCAAAGTAGTCTCTGATGATTTCCTGGACTTCCATGGTGTTTGTTGTTATCTCCCCTTTTGCATTCCTGATTCTACTAATTTGGGTTTTTCTCTCCTCATTTTAGTCAGGTTTGCCAGGGGTCTATGATCTTGTTTTTTTTCAAAGAACCAACTTTTTGTTTCATTAATTCTTTGTATGGTTTTTTGTTTCTATTTTCATTGATTTCAGCTCTTATTTTTTATTTCTCTTTCTATTTGTTTGGGATTTGCTTGTTCTTGTTTTTCTAGGAGTTTGAGATGTATCATTAGTCATTGATTTGGGATCTTTCAGTCTTTTTAATATATGCACTCATGGCTATAAACTTTCCTCTCAGGACTGCCTTAGCTGTGTCCCATAGTTCCTGTAGGTTGTGTTTTCATTTTCATGACTTCCAGAACTTTTTAATTTCCTCTTTATTTCATGATGATCCATTGTTCATTAAGTAATGATTATTTAGTTTCCAGCTGTTTGCATTTTTTGTCTTTACTTTGTTGTTGGTTCTACTTTTACTGCATTTGATCAGATAGTATGCATGGTATAATTTCTATTTTCTTATATTTGCTGAGGCTTGCTTTGTGCCCTAGGATATATCTATTTTGAGAGGTTTCCATGGGCTGCTGGAGAATTATATTGTGTAGAAGTTAGGTGAAATGTTCTTGTAGAATCAAGTAGGTCCATTATCTATTGTTATTTTAGATCTTGATATCTTTATTGATTTTTTGTTTGGATGACCTATCTATGATGATAATGGGGTGTTAAAGTCTCCACAACCACTTGCGTTGCTTAATATATTGCATTATCTTTTCAGAGTATGTTTGATGAAAATTGGGCTGTGACATTGGTCTGCATACAAATTGCATGATTATTATTTCCTTTGGTCACATCTATTGATGATAATGGGGTTGTTAAAGTCTCGCACAAGACACTGCGTTGGCGTTATATATGCTATTAGGTCTTTCAGGGTATGTTTGATGAAATTGGGTGCGTTGACATTGGGTGCATACAAATTGATGATTATTATTTCCTTTTGGTCTATAATTATTTTTAGTCAAAATGAAGGAAATGCAGTTAAAGTAATACATGCCTAGTATTACTTTAAAAAGTATAAGCTCTAAAAACTTATGTTACAGGGTTATTCCCAAGCCCTTTCTTCATGCGTGACCTAGTGTGGTCAACTTTTAAAATTAACTCCTAATAGCACATTTTCAAACTGGAATAAGCACACCTCTAATTCCTTGTGAGGATAATGCAGAAGAGGAAAATGTTCATGGTACATCTTTCTGGACCACCGATTCTACTGCAAAATTTAGAAGAAACAAATTTAAGTATTTTCCACGTGGTAGTTAACTTGGATGGACCCAAACTCAAATCTCTATTTCTTCTACTGTGGGCACATGTGAAATCTTCATTCAAGTTCCTCACTATTGGCTACCTCTGATCTTTCACCTCTCAATTACCAGCCTAAGTCCTTTGTCCTCCCCATTCCCTTTGAGAGCTGCTGTAGGAATTGTGCCTATGATTTACATGGGGAATCCTCAGCTCTGAAAGTATGAAGTCCAGGATTAAGGAGCTGGCAAATAATGAGGGCTGTGTCATACCAAGTCTGAAAGTCAATCAGAAGGCAAAAAAGAGTCAGAGATCAAGTACTACTATAGTGTGTATTAGTCTATTCATGAAGCCAAATTCTTCATGACCTAAACATGTCCCACAAAGTTCTACCTCAGAAAATTATTGCATTGGGGTTTTAATTTCCAACACAAAAATTTTATGGGAGACATTCAAATCATAGCAGAGAGTAAAACCATTTGAGTATAGATTTTTTTGTTTTAAAGTTATGATTTCAATTTTTTCATAGTATAGAGCTTTCAAAATATTGATTTCTTATTATGTGATATGGTAGGGGTTTTTTTTTTTTCCCTTGAGGAATTAGCTCATTTTATCTAAGCCATTGAGATTTAAGCATATAAAATTGCCCAGCAAAGGAAACTCTTTTTTTAAGAAAAAACAAAGCCTAGCATGGTGGCTTACCATTATAATCTTAACTTCTCAAGATGCAGAGATTAGGAGGACACTGGTTTGAGACCAGCTAGGGCAAAAAGTTAGCAAGATCCACATCTCAATCAATAAACCAAGCATGGTGATGCACACTTGTGATCACAGCTACATGGCAGGCCATAGGTAGGAGGATAGAGGTCTGAGGCTGGCCTTAGGCAAAAAATGTGAGACCCTATCTGAAGAATAACTATGGTTAAAAAGGGACTGGGGTGTGGGTTGAATGGTAGAGCATCTGCCTAAGTAAGCATGAGGCCCTGACCTCAAACTCAAACACCACTATAAATAAAAATAACCAAAGAAATACACTTGAAAATCTAGATAGGTATAGGGAGGAATAACCTCCCACAGGCAAGCAGAAAATAGTCACAATGCCTATATCTAATAGGGAACTGGCATTTAGCATATTTAAATAACTTTTACATTTCAATAATAAAATACAAAATATTTGAACATAAAACATACCAAAGAATCTATATAAATGAACAATTCAAACACGAAAAGATACTCCGTATCTCTATTTAGGGAAAATGCAAGAATTCAATACAACATAGTAACTAGAATGGTAAGCATGTAAGTGACTGAAAATACCCATGTTGGCAGGCATGTAGACCACTCGAAACTCTCAAAGATTGCTAGTGGGAATGATAAAATGCATAATTACTGGGAAAAGATCTGTGTCTTATAAATATTAAACATATTCCTAACTTATGAGTCATAACCTTCATGTACATATATATACATGTTCATACACTCAAATGGGAGTATATTTCATTTTTCTGTGTAATACAGACCTAAATTTTATGGTATATAGCTATAAGATAACTTAGAAAGCTGAGTTCTTACTATTACACACTTTCAGCTTTCATCTATCACAGACAAACCAGTGGCAAATGCATATACTTATCAGTTCAATTATTTCTTAATGCTGCATTTCCAGAAATAGCAAAACAATGAATCAAAAGAGTAAAGATGTTAAACTGAGATATATTTAAAATCAGCATATCAGTTGACCTCCTCATGGCTGCACTTGAAACTCCTGAAAGTTGCACCAGTTTGTATTTTTTATATCACTATGTGCATATTCATTTCTTCCTAACCTTGTTAATTATCCCTAAAAATAGTTATTAAATTTCCTCAGTTTAACAGCAAAACACTACATACCCCTATTGCATAATTTGCATTTTTTACTAGTGAAATTGATCATCTTTTCATGTATTTGTTAGCTATTTTTAGTTTTTATTATACTCATTGCCTAGTTTTCTATTGGCACTTGTCTTTTTTCCCTGTTGATTAACAACAGCTGTTTGTTTATTGTCTTTACTTCATTATGAATTACATGAATTTAAAATATATTCTCCAGTTTAGCAATTGCTTCTTTGTTGCTTGCTTATTATGCCAGTATTTTAAAATGCATATAATTGATTATTTTTTCCTTCCTGCATTTGAGCTTAATTCATAGGAAATGCTTCTTAACTCAAATATTATAAAGTTATTGAATTTTTTCTAGTATAATTTTATTCTTACATTTTAATCCTTAATTCATCTGGAATTTGTTTTATAGGAAGAAGTTGAAATGCAACTGTGCCTACTAAGTACCCAATTATTTATATTTGTCTCACTGAATTTTTAACACAAGACATCTTTACTACAAAATGTTTTACAAATATGTTTAGATATAACTCCTTACTCTGTTAACTATACATTTTGTGCAATATGATATTGTTTTATTATTATAGTTTTACCTCTTATGCTTAACTATATAACAGTGTTTTGTTATTTTTCATTTTACTACTTCTGTTTTTTCTCATGTATATATTTTACAAACATAATTTTATGGTATATTGCCCACATGGTAATACATATACATGAAATGTATACATATAAAGGAAAGAAGTTTGAATATCTGAATGTGGATGTCATTTTGTGTTGCATATTGAACCAAAGTGCCTGATATTGAATGCAAGTTCTGTTAGTTTCATTTTGGATAGAGAATGAGATCCCAAACATCGAGATGCATTCATTTACACACAGAACTGGTTTCCTCTTAGCCATTGACCTCTGTTTCTCTCATTTGAATTCAAAATAGAGCCTTTTGTGTGTGAAATGTATGCTGCTTTGCCTCACAGTCTGTGCCAGACACTAAATTTGTCTCTTTATAGTTGTCAAACACTGAATTTGTCATGATAATTCTAGGAAGCTATTATAATTACCACCTCTGCTTTCCCCATTTCATAGTCAAGAAGCCTGAAGTAGAGACTTGAAATAACTTGCTAGATCATAATGGAAGCCCTCAGGTACACCCCCAGATCTGATTGATTACAAATCCAGTATCTTTATTTGATACTTGCTGTCTTACTTATGCTCTTTACCCATCTACATCCTCACTTAACTTCCTTCCTTCTTTTTGCCCTATCTATGCAGGCCCGTGACCAACGTGTAGACTAAGAAGTGGAGTCATGCTTCACACGGCCGCATCATGCTGGCAGCCATTCTTGGGTCTGGCTGTGGTGTTAACCTTCATGGGATCCACCATTGGCTGTCCTGCTCGCTGTGAGTGCTCTGCCCAGAACAAATCTGTTAGCTGCCACAGGAGGCGGTTGATTGCCATCCCAGAGGGCATTCCCATCGAGACTAAGATCTTGGACCTCAGCAAAAACAGGTTGAAAAGTGTCAACCCTGAAGAATTCATATCCTACCCTCTTCTGGAGGAAATAGACTTGAGTGACAACATCATTGCCAATGTGGAACCAGGAGCATTTAATAATCTGTTTAACCTGCGTTCCCTCCGCCTGAAAGGCAATCGCCTGAAGTTGGTCCCTTTAGGAGTATTCACAGGACTGTCCAACCTCACCAAGCTTGACATTAGCGAAAATAAGATTGTCATTTTACTGGACTACACATTCCAGGATCTGCATAACCTGAAGTCTCTAGAAGTAGGGGACAATGATTTGGTTTATATATCACATAGGGCCTTCAGCGGGCTGCTTAGCTTGGAGCAGCTCACCCTGGAGAAATGCAACTTAACAGCGGTACCAACAGAAGCCCTCTCCCACCTCCGCAGCCTCATCAGCCTGCATCTGAAGTATCTTAATATCAACAATATGCCCGTGTATGCCTTTAAAAGATTGTTCCACCTGAAACACCTAGAGATTGACTATTGGCCTTTACTGGATATGATGCCTGCCAATAGCCTCTATGGTCTCAACCTCACATCCCTTTCCATCACTAATACCAACCTGTCCACAGTACCCTTCCTTGCCTTCAAACACCTGGTATATCTGACACACCTTAACCTCTCCTATAATCCCATCAGCACTATAGAAGCAGGCATGTTCTCAGACCTGATCCGCCTTCAAGAGCTTCATATAGTAGGGGCCCAGCTCCGCACCATTGAGCCTCACTCTTTTCAAGGGCTCCGCTTTCTTCGTGTGCTCAATGTGTCCCAGAACCTGCTGGAAACTTTGGAAGAGAACGTCTTCTCCTCCCCTAGGGCTTTGGAGGTCCTAAGCATTAACAACAACCCTCTGGCCTGTGACTGCCGTCTCCTCTGGATCCTGCAGCGACAGCCCACCCTGCAGTTTGGTGGCCAGCAGCCCATGTGTGCTGGACCAGACACCATCCGTGAGAGGTCATTCAAGGATTTCCACAGCACTGCCCTTTCTTTTTACTTTACCTGCAAAAAACCCAAAATCCGTGAAAAGAAGTTACAGCATCTGCTTGTGGATGAAGGGCAGACGGTTCAGCTAGAATGTAATGCTGATGGAGACCCACAGCCTGTGATTTCCTGGGTGACACCCCGGAGGCGTTTTATCACCACCAAGTCCAATGGAAGGGCCACCGTGTTAGGTGACGGCACTTTGGAAATCCGCTTCGCCCAGGATCAAGACAGTGGGATATATGTCTGCATTGCTAGCAACGCTGCTGGGAATGACACCTTCACAGCCTCCTTGACTGTGAAAGGATTCACTTCAGACCGCTTCCTTTATGCAAACAGGACCCCTATGTACATGACGGACTCCAATGATACCATTTCCAATGGCACCAATGCCAATACTTTTTCCCTGGACCTTAAAACAATACTGGTATCTACAGCCATGGGCTGTTTCACATTCCTGGGAGTGGTTTTATTTTGTTTTCTCCTCCTTTTTGTGTGGAGCCGAGGGAAAGGCAAGCACAAAAACAGCATTGACCTTGAGTATGTGCCCCGAAAAAACAATGGTGCTGTTGTGGAAGGGGAGGTGGCTGGACCAAGGAGGTTCAACATGAAAATGATTTGAGGGTTCACCACTCACACTACTGCCTCTGTGTCATTGTTGGTTATCAGTAAGACAATCTGGCATAGTAAATGGCTAGGTTAAGAGGCAATTTCCTATAGCTGCCCCTGTGTCAAAGCAGGGTCCATGGGAGCAGGAAGACTTAAGGAGACTCTCCATCTAGAGGCAGGCAGGCCTGTGTCAGAGCCCTTCACACGGTGGGATACTAATTGTTTGCATTGCAAATATTGGCATTCTGGGGATCTCAGTAATGAACCTGAACCTTTGGCTCATGCTCATGGACAATAACTCAGCATTTTCTACCACTGCAAAAACAAAAGAAAAAATAAAACAGAACAACCTACAGTGTAGGATTTACATATTAAAAAGACACATTTGTCTAAAACGTACTCAACAGAAAAATTTGTATCTATGATTATCATTTGTTAAAGCCTTGCATCATACCATATTGTTGGTTCAGTACCAAAAACAGATATATTCTTTTTTCTTTTTTTGAAACATATATGCTGTATATGTTTTAAAGCAATATGAATGAGAGGTTGTGCTTTTAGTTACTCATCACTATAGATCCAAGTGTGATTTCATCTTCCTTTACCTACAGATAAGCCTGAGACTAGATCCCTGGAGGTATGGGTGGAGATACATTGAGAGATGTGTATGTCTGATATAGGATGCCAAGAAACAGGACCCAAGGCAAAATTGCTCAACTCTGTTATCTTCTGTTACTATAAATAAAGGCATGTGCCTAGTTTTGATACAGAATGGAATATTTTTTTATACTTGTAATATCACACTGGACCAGTTTACTGTAACAAATCCCTTAGTTTCTCCAGGAGATGATATGCTACTAAATGTACCTGTAACACTCAAGGTAGGTGTTATTAATGAAAATAATCTATTTTGCCACTCTTTGGTTTTACTTTCACCAGTTACCACTAATGGGTTAACTCAAAATGGGAGAGGAAGTAATCACTCTATATAATCATTGAGTAATATTTCCCAGTAGCTAAGATCAATAATTCTGTTTTCAAAAGTTTCTGAATAAGGAGTTCTCAGATGCCAACACAAACCAGAATGATCCATGCATAACAAGATGGTAATGTAATTAAGGGTCTGTTTAAATGATGCTAGCTACCTGAGGGCTAGATTTCTGTCAGTCTAAAGGAGGATTACGCTACTACCGCTTTGACGGTCTCTGTTCAAATGTTGTACACACAGTGTCACCTTTCTTCAGGATTTCTCCCTGGATTTTTTCCCTGCTTTCTTATCAAGTAGATATTGGTTTTTATTTTGAAAATTATCTTGTGTAGGTAAGATAATTGTGTTGTGTTTTTAATGATGTGAGAAAAAAAGCTAAGGTGAAATGAAAAATGCTTACTGATTTCTTTCTCTACTGAGGAAAACTAAGACTATAGCCCTATCAAAATTTTATATTGTGCTGATTCTTTTGCCCTATTTACCAGAGGATATTTGCCCAATGCAGTTGACATTAATGTTATTTTCAAAATGAAACATTCAAGTATTTAAAAAAGTGGCATCATACTATTGTCACCAGTGATTGAGTTTAAAGGAACATAATTCCTCTCAGCTAAGTGTTGAATGAATGACTTTCAAAGCATATATTCATATGAGCTGAGAAAGCATTGAATGTCAACTATATTAGCAAAATACTATATATTTAATCAACAGACACAAGTAGGGAATTTCTACATTTTTCATATTTGAGAGGGTCCTAGAAAAGGTGTGCTTTGGGATAGCATGTGAGATGGAGAAGAAGGTCTCTGAGGTTTACTTCTTAACATATCAAATCGGGGGCCTGACTTTCAAAAAACTACCTTTTTTAATATTTGAAGTTTTCCTTAAAAACTTCCTTAAGTTTCCTTAAAAACTTATTGGGGTCAGATTAAGCTGACCCCAATTAAAAAAATGACAAGTTCAGAAATTGTTTTGCCAATTGGATAGCAACACATCTAAATCCATTTCTCCCTTAATAAAGGAAGGAAAATGAGATACAAAAACTAGTAATTGCCTGTTTGCATTGTATTTCATTTAACTATCCTAATGTTTATCATAGATCTTTTATCATTATTTCCTATTCGTGATCTTATTTATATCTAACAATACAAATCAAAGTATGCTGAAAATTCTATCAAAATTCTAACTCATGTGCAAATAAAATAGGTTCTTTCAGTTAAAAAAAAATCCAATGTGTGGAGATGGTCTTCCAAAAGAGAAACTACTTCTTTTTAATTTTGCAACATCTTATAGAGGAAATAGTTAATCAATTGCCAGAGAGACAAGAGAGTTCTGGCAAGCTTAAACACTGAGCAATGTATAAGAGGATTTTGTTACTCTGCTATTTTCTGTCAAAATAAAAGTTGAACATAAATACATACACAAGCAAAATTAAATTGAATTAAAGTTAACCCATCATGAAAAGATTTAGTTGAAAGATTTATATATTATTCCATTTGAAGATGAGCAATTGGAGTCTCTCAAGAGTTTCCATACTCTTATCCATAGAATAGTTAAGATGTTACTAAGCAATCTTCCAAAAAAGAGTCCCAATGACTGCAACATGGGGCAAATGCTGCATTCCATACCACCTCTTCAAGGTTCAAAATCTAAGTCCAAGAAACCCTCTAGAAATTCCTGTAAACAAGACCCATGTTAAATATTTCTTACTTCGAGGTTTCTCTAACTTATTTGTGCATGAAGCATCACTTTTTATTCTCAACTGTTAACTTTTAACTAGGGTTCCATGGAACTCAAATTGATTAACATTAAAGTAGAGTAATACACATCTGAAATATTACTGACCCAGTGTTTCTAAAAAGAATAAAATAAAATGATTGTTTGAATTGAGCTCCAATTACAAAAGTGTATACACACATCACTCACATAAGTGTTCAGACCATGTCAGTATATTGACCAAATATTTCCAGGAGAATTGTCTATTTCCTGTATGAAGCAATGTAGCAATGCATCTACAGCTAACTGAATGGTCATTTAACTTTTCTATATTTTCACTATTGGTGCAAATCTTGGGTTCCTTTTTTATAGCTACAAAGCAGCATTCCACTGAATGTAACTCTGGGACCTTAGCTCCCAGTTTTACAAAGGGATTGCATGAAATTTTGTTTATGACCTTGGATTACATCCTTGTTAGATTTAACTTGATCATGGTAGAGAATAACTTCTCAGACTAGCACATGGGTCAACTTTTCTCCTTAGGTATGACATCTCTGAGTTATTGTCTTCCTAAATGGTGTGTTTCAAAATATGCTGTGAAGAAATAAAAATGTTTGACTCAGCATTTTGTTCTAAGTTGAAGAATAGCTGTATGTTATTAAGCATTTTCAGAGAAATACTTACTCTCTCTAACCATTAAATCTATAATAAGAAAAAATTCCCTAACCAGAGCCCTTATGGTCTAAGAGAATTGATACATGGGCCCAAACATCTGAAATACATATTACTATGGTAAAATAACTCACCCAACTAATTTGGTCTAATGTGTTCTTGTATAGCAGTTTCTACTTATCCAGATTCTTGTATTACCCACTTCTCTAGCCTTTTTCATTTCCATTGCATCTATAATCATGTGCTTTTCAAATATTCTTAATGTTTGAAAATATTATCCAGAAATTGCTAAGACTCATACTTTCTATTTCCTGAGGACATTTGTTAAAATTCTGGTTTTGCTCAATTTTCTCAGAAGTTTTGCTTATCACCAGCAATTCCTGTAGTTCAAAGGAATTCAGGATTTGCTCTATACTATTTAGAGTAGATTCTTTTTTCTCTGTTATGTAAAAAATTCTGTTCTCAGTTCAGTCTAGAAGTTACAATCTTCTGTGAGTCTTTAAAAAGGTTTGTTTAAATTTCACCTCCATTGAAACCTGACTTTTGTCACTTTCCATTACTCTAATAGGAAGAAATATATTTTTATATTAGAAGAACAAAGAAAGGATGTGATGTTAGAGAAATAAAATTGAGTAGCGCCCCATGTAAATTAACTCATACTTCCAGGGGCCTCCTTCTTCTCTATATCCAGACATTTATTTTATCTTCAGGGCCCAAACCCTGCACAGAAGCTTTCAACAGCACAGAATGTGTCTTGAGGCTTTCTAGAAGATAAAAAAAATAATTTTCAGCTTAGAGGGCTAAGACCTGACCACAAAGAAACATTTTAGGAGAAAGGTTGGAGGGAAACACTGAAATCCACTTTAATTCTATTTCCTTTACTCGTCATTTTTATAGCTATTTTCTATTCAAAGAAGAATCAGAGATTATGCTCTTTTTAAACTTTCATTGGCTTCTACATTTATCCTCTTCTACAAATCTTGGCCACTCATAGCCTACGTGAGATTCCAAATGGATTTTGTAGCTTGTGAAACAATAACAAAATCATTGGGACCAAAGCCATTCATTGCACTTGGTACTTAGGTAAAAGTTTATCATCTTTATTACCAAAACCAACATTCACTGATAGACTAGGAATACATCGTATGCTTGATTATTTACACTGATTTTGCTCCATTCAATTCTTTTTGGCTAAAACCCTTGATAATTTTCTGATGGCAGAGTTTTATAGTTATTCCACCCTTATGTATGAAAAAACTTTGAGAAATGAATTATTTTTTGACCTGATTTTAAAATGTTATATTTTTGTTAGGCAGCAGAGATACTTGATACTTTGGCAAACACTTAACATGGATCTCTCAGTGACTCCCCTTCACCTCTACAAAGCCATTCCCAAGAAAGCCTTCTCTCACTTGTGCCCCAGCAAAAGTATAACTATTGAGAAAAAGTCAGAACACAAGCCAACAAGATAAAGTGAAAGCTGATTTTCTTTTTTTTTTTTTTGCTAACTTTACCTAATAAACACTGTTTCTAGGCGTCATAAGTCTAGGCCTGCAAGGTTTAGCTAAGAAAGTGATGTTGTAAACCAACAATTAATGACAGGTTCTCAAATCTGAAATTTGCTGTCTGCTTGTAACCAGCAAATGTTGCTGTGTGTTTTCTCAAAAACATGTTAGGGACTGGAAACTCCTTATCTTGTGTGACCTTTTCAACAGGTGGCCTATGATGAACTATTGGCAACAACAATAAAAGACATGCTTAAGATGTATGTAAAAGGTTTATTTTTCTACAACAGGACTGAGGTTTGTTCCTCTTTCCAAAGATGGGAACCTGATCAGAACAAGCTTACATGTGTCCTAGACTGCCCTCCTTCAATTTACCAGAGTCTTTAAAATCTCTTCTCTCTCCCCCACTCCAGCTCCCAGAAAACATCCTGAATAAGAGAGAGGAC